CAAGCAGGAAGGAGACACAAGAGATTACCAGAAACTGGAAGGAGAACGGGTATTATTACTTAATGTACAGAATTTCTGTTTGAGGTAATGAAATTTCACAAATTGTAGTGATGGTTGTACAATATTGTATATATAATTGACACTGACCTGTACACTTAAAAATGGTTAAAGGCTAACTTTGTGGTATATCTATTTTTTTTATTTTTTAGTTAAATCTTTATTGTTGAGAGTATTACAGATGTTCCCCTTTTTCCCTGCCAGTGCCCCCTTCCACCCGGTTCCTGCCCCACCCCAGGCCTTCAGCACTTTACTGTCTGTATCCATAGGTAAGATCTTTGGTTACTCTCCTCCCACCTCCCTTCCCCCTTCTCTTTGAGATTCATCAGTCTGTTCTGTTTCCATGCCTCTGATTCTATTTTATTCACCAGTTTATTTTGTTCATTAGATTTCTTGTTTATTTTTATTTTTTTTTAAATATATTTTATTGATTTCCACAGAGAGGAAGGGAGGGGGATAGAGAGCTAGAAATGTCGATGAGAGAAAGTCATTGACCAGCTGCCTCCTGCACACCCCCTACCGGGGACGTGCCCGCAACCAATGTACATGCCCTTGACCGGAATCGAACCCGGGACCCTTCAGTCCGCAGGCCGACGCTCTATCCACTGAGCCAAACCGGTTTCGGCTCAACAGGTAGTTGTTAAATGTGTATGTGTTAGGCATTAGATGGATGGATAATGGAAGAAACAAAAGCAGAAAGGCTAACTTATCATTTCCACCTGACAGAGTTGCAAATTAAATAATGTAAAAATATTTTTTTTAAAATGTTTCAAAATCATAAGGCACTATATACTAGTAAATGTGTTTTAAGTTACATATTCCAAAATTCAAGCTAAAAGTTAGCCAAAATCCTTTAATTAGGTCATCTGAGCATTTACTAGTAATTCATCTACTAGTATACATTATGTTTTATACCTTTTCTTAAATCCTCATTTGAGGATATTTTTTCCATTGTTAGAGAAAGTGGAAGAGGAAAAGAGTAAGAGGGGAAGGGAGAGAGAGACATACATCAATGAGAGAAAGAAACCTTAGTTGGTTGTCTTCCACCCCACCCCATTCAGGGATCCAACCCAAAACTCAGATATGTGCCCTGGGACATTTGAACTTCCTGTAACCTTTCAGTGGACCAAACAACGCTCAACCAACTAAGACACTCCAGTTGGGCTATATTTTATACCTTTAATTTTTTTTTAATTTTTTAAATATATTTTATTGATTTTTACAGGGAGGAAGGGAGAGAGATAGAGAGTTAGAAACATCAATGAGAGAGTCATCGATCAGCTGCCTCTTGCACACCCCCTACTGGGGATATGCCCGCAACCAAGGTACATGCCTTTGACCGGAATCAAACCCAGGACCTTTCAGTCCCCAAGCCGACGCTCTATCCACTGCGCCAAACCAGTTTCGGCTATATTTTATACCTTTAATAACTTATTTGGAATCAAATTTATTTCCTAAGTGCATCAATGTGGAAAAGGTTTCTCAAAGCAGATCAATTGGTTTGCTCTACACTTTCCAGAATGAGTAATTTTTATAGTAACCTATATTAATGGCCTGTAATAACTGTGGTGAGAGCATTGTAAAACATGCAATTGACATTGACAAAAATAAATATAAAAAATATTGTATAAGTAAGTCTTACTGTGTGCAAATATATTTCTGTGTATTAATGGATTACCAAAAAGGGTGATCATAACAATATATAAAAAGGAGTGAAAGCCAATATACATTTTTTGGATGTGAGAACAACATGAATTTGGGGGCCATGATTAGAATGCTCTGGCTGAATTGTGTCCTCCCAAAATTTGTATTTTTAAGCCCTAAACTCCAATGTGATTGTATTTAGATAGGGCAGGGCTTTTAGGAAGTAATTAATGTTGAATAAGGTCATATGGGTGGAGTCCTAAACTGAAAGGTTTGGTGACCTTAAAAAAAGAGATAAACAATGGAACAAATTGATATTTCTCTCTCTCTCCTCTCTTGCTCTAAGATAATTTCTTTAAAAGTTCTTAAACAATAAAAAAGATGAAGGAAAACCTCTCCCGTGAACCATTCACCAAAGAAAGGCCTTATAAGCACCCAATGAGAAAGCAAGGAGCTCTCACCAGAACCAGACCGTGCCGGCACACTGGTTCTTTTGAACTTGTAGCTTCTAATATTATGAGAAAATTCTGTTGTTTTAATTCTATGCTATTTTATTGCAACCTAAGCAGACTGAGATTTAAGTATATATTTTTAACTGGAAAAATAAATATATCTTCAGAAATAGCAACCAGAAGAGTTGTAAACAAATCACTGGGCTTTGTCTATATTCAGAGTCTTATAGTTATTTAAAGTTCTTTTCCTTTTAAAATATATTATTGATTTCAGAGAGGAAGGGAGAAGGAGATAGAAATATCAATGATGAGAATCATTGATCTGCTGCCTCCTGCATGCTCCCTACAGAAAATCAAGCCTGCAACCCAGGCCTGTGCCCTGACCAGGAATCAAACCATGACCTCTTGGTTTATAGGTCGATGCTCAGCCACTGAGCCACACCAGCCAGGCAATAAAAGTTCTTTATAATGCTTTATAAAGTGAAATCCTATTGTATCTGATGACTGGTAACACTGATATTCATCACTTACTACCTCCCCAACCCTAGATTTGATGATTAGAGCAAAATGAATATAAAAACGATAGGCAATTTTTTATAATGACTTGCCCACCAGCCAATCAGGAGCAAGTATGCAAATTAAACCAACAAAGATAGCACTGGCCTGTCCCTGGCCAGGGGCCAATGGGCCAAGTGGTGAGGCTGGAGAGTCCAGGCCTATTGGCCTGGCAGGGAGCCATGGGAGCCACTCCACTGCTGCTGGAGTGTCTGGGCCTGTCTACTTGCCCGGAGACCACAGGAGGCCAATCAGTGAGGCTGGATCCACCGCCGCCAGATAGGGCAGATTCAGCTTCTCTGCTCAGCCACAGCTGGATGTCCAGGCCTATCAGCCTGGCCGGGGACTGTGGGAGCCCAGCGGCAAGGCTGGATCCACTGCCTTTGGCATGTCTGAACCTATCAGCCCCTCCATGAGGATGGATGCTGCGTCTAGGGGGCACATGGAAATTGTTCTCTCGGGAGTTCGACTGGGAGATTCGGAGTTCAATCACCTGCTATGACGTGAGCTGACCACCAGAGGTGGCATGGAATGAAGGAAGACCCCCGCTGGTAGCCGGGGAAGGGAGGCCCCAGCCAGCAGCTGGCAGCTCTGTGGAAGGGAGGGCCCCGCTGGCAGCCAGAAGGCCCCAATCAGCCCTGATCGCTGACCAGGCCTAGGGACCCTACCAGTGCACAAATTTCGTACACTGGGTCTCTAGTATAATAATAAAGTATTTAAATAATTTTCTTCCACTAGAAATCAAAGTAAATTTTGTGAATGAATTTGAGAATAAAAGAATCAAAGAATCATATGCTAAAACATTTTTAAATGATTTTTAAACCATTCGATCCAAATTTTTAACTTTGATTAATTTTAAAGTAGTTAAAATTATTCAAACGAAAATGTAAATACACCTAGAATTCCAGAATACAGAAATAATTAACTGTGAGCTTACTGACTTGACTATTCTGAAAGATGTATGTTCCAGGCAATTTCTAAGTGGAAGAATAGTTCCAAAGTCTTTCTTTTAATATATTAAAATGTTTGGCTAACCGGTTTGACTCAGGGGATAGAGCATCTTCCTGTGGACTGAAGGATCCCTGGTTCGATTCCGGTCAAGGGCATGTACCTTGGTTGTGGGCACATCCCCAGTAGGAGGTGTGCAGGAGGCAGCTGATTGATGTTTTTCTCTCATCAGTGTTTCTAGTTCTCTATCCTCTCCCTTCCTCTCTGTAAAAAATCAATAAAATATATATTTTTTTAAAGAGTTCTGAAGAAGACATGGTTCTTCTCACCTTTAAAAAAATATTAAAAATAAACAAATGGCTTAGATTTTAGGATTGAGGCAACCAGAATCAGATTGGTCATCTAAAATGTGTACCCTACTCATAAAACTGAATATAATATGTTGACTCAGCATGTTGGGTTTACAATAATAAAAAAAAGGTTCATTTTTAAGAATTATCAAAGCTATACTTAAAGAGAGCACAAAAGGAATATTAAAAAAAAAAAAAAAATTCCCTAGGATTTTCTAGGCAATTAGCAAAAAAAGAACAAAAAAATACAGCCTGAAAATCAACAAACGACAAGTGTTGGCGAGGTTGTGGAGAAAAAGGAACCCTCGTGCACTGCTGGTGGGAATGCAGACTGGTGCAACCACTGTGGAGAACAGTGTGGAGTTTCCTCAAAAAACTGAAAATGGAACTCCCATTTGACCCAGTAATCCCACTTCTAGGAATATATCCCAAGAAACTAGAAACACCAATCAGAAAGGATATATGCACCCCTATGTTCATAGCAGCACAATCTACAATAGCTAGAATCTGGAAACAGCCTAGGTGCCCGTCAGCAGATGATTGGATCCAAAAACTATGGTACATCTACACAATGGAATACTATGTGGCCATAAAAAAGAAGGAATTCTCATCATTTGCAGCAACCTGGATAGAACTAGAGAACATCATGCTGAGTGAAATAAGCCAGTCAATGAAAGAGAAATACCACATGGCCTCACTCATTTATAGATATTAAAAAACATTATAAACTGACAAACCAAAAGATAGATATAAAGACAGTAAAGCAACAAGCAGACTGTAAAATTACAGCGGGGAGAGTAGGGAGATCTGGGGGAGATAAGAAATTCAACCGAAGGACTTGTATACATGCATATATACATACATGTATACAACCAATGGACACAAAACTCTGGGGATGGAGGGTATGTATGGGGGGGGCAATGTTAAAATATGTACACAGATAATAATTTAATAAATCAAATAAGGGGGGGGGGAACAGAATACAAAAAAAAAAAAAAAATACAGCCTGAGTGGCTCATAAGATCAGCCTTCCACATTTGCAAAATATAATACTTATATCGTTCCTACTGATTGTTACTAAAAATGGAAACAAGACACACTGCTTCAGAAAAACTTTCAGAGAATCATACTCATTTAAGTATATTTCATTTTATATACTCCTGATTCATTTATGCCACAGTGTTTTTATCTTTTAAAGAAATATGTCTAATACATATACACACCCACATACACACATACTTTGAGACTAGTCTTTTGATTCCTGTTCTTCCTCCGATTCTCGTGACCGTTTCCGGGAATTCAATGAACCTTCTGTTTGCAATGAGCATGCAGTAGTAACAACAGCATCTCTAAATCCCTGAGGCTGTAAGATGAAAAAAATATAAATATGCTTTAGAAGATCTAAAATAATGATTGGTCTTTCAAATATTTCAAGTAATTGATAAGAGAGCTACTTTATTCTTGGGATAGAAGTTATCAACCACTGTAAATGAAGAAGATAAACCTCATGGATAGATGTCCAAACCAGGGTTGTACTAGAGTATTTTACATCTAAAATATTTTATATTTATTTATCTATACATACATATACACTCAGAAATAACATTGCATTATAGAAATATTCTCTAAAAGACAACCCTAAAAAGTTTTGTGGTGACAGTATTGAAGAGGTGAAAGAAAATACATGGAAAAATTACTTAAGTGTTTTACAAACTTATTTTCACAATACTCTAAAATAGTTTTCCAATTAGAGTAGTACTTTAATTGCACCTAGGCAATGCAAAGACTAAGTGGATAACTCAAATTTCAGAATCTCTATTTCTGTTTTTTGTCCTTAAAATATGAGATGCCAAGAATATTTTTGGCTAAAAACTATTGATAAATATGCATAGTTCAATAAAAACTGTGTTATATAATGTACAATTATAGGAAAATTAGCATTTTAAAGTAGGATAGCCAAAACCAGTTTGGCTCAGTGGATAGAACATCGGTCTGCGGACTGAAAGGTTCCAGGTTCGATTCTGGTCAAGGGCGTGTACATTGGTTGCAGGCACATCCCCGGCGTGGGGTGTGCAGGAGGCACCTGGTCGATGTTTCTCTCTCATCAGTGTTTCTAACTCTCTATCCCTCTCCTTTCCTCTCTGTAAAAAATCAATAAAATATATTTTTAAAAATAAATAAATAAAAATAAAATAGGATATATTTTGTGACTATGACAGATCTATAATATCTATAAACCAAAATTAGTAAGGTTGGTATATTTTTATGAAAATTTTTAACAACTTTCAATTTAAAAATATTTAATATACTGCCCACAGGTGTTGGCTTAGTGCTTGTGCACTGACCTATGAACCAGGAGGAGATCACAGTTCGATTCCCAGTCAGGGCACATGCCCAAGTTGCAGGCTTAGTCCCCAGTAGGGAGCATACAGGAGACAGTGGATTGGTGATTATCTTTCATCAATGATGTTTCTATCTCTCTCTCTCTCTCCCTCTCCCTTCCTCTCTGAAATCAATAAAAACATATTTAAAAATAATAATAAAAATACTGACTGTGATTTGAAACAGTACTGTAGATTCCTTCTGGCTTGGTGATTTGTACAATGTTGCCAACCTGTTGGGGTGGGGGGAGACAAAACACAAACACATAATCTTAATTAGTTCAGGTGACCGACTTGATCATTTAAAATTATAATTTTTAAAAATATAATTCTATTATTTTGTTCTCTAAGGATACAGAAAGAAATATCAGAATATTCCCTTCAAACAATAGCTATATGTATGCAGGGACTAGTGATAATTATTACAGACATTAACAATTACTTATATTGTTTATATAAATAAAATTTTAAGCAACCTAAAAGTCCAATAACTGATTCAAATAAACCAACAACATTCACCTTGATAGGATAGCTCAAGTGATTAGAGCATCATCCCAATATGCTAAGGTTGTGGGTTCTATCCCCCCCACACACACACAGGGCACATATAAGGAGCAACCAATAAGAATGCGTAAATAAGTAGAACAACAAATCAATGTTTCTCTGACTCCCTCCCTCTCTGAAAAAAAGTAATAAATCAATAAATAAAAATAAAAAACACAAACCGGCAATTTTCAAACAGCGTGTTGCAAAAAATTTTTAAATATGCAATACTTGACTAGTTTTATTGCACTGACTTCTTTCACTTTGATTGTCAAAAAATTACAACAGCTAGCACAATAGCCTTCCAGTGTGAATAAATCAAAATTATACTTTTTTTTTAGTCAGACCAGCAAAAAATGTATTTTTTGGCGTGCCATAGAATTTTAATACTTAGTGTATGTGTGCCATGATCTGAAAAAGGCTGAAAAATCACTGAAATAAACTACTTTATACATGACAAGATACTGTTTATGCTTAAGAAAACATAGTGGAAGAAACATTTAAGGAAATAAGGAAAATTTCAATATTACATTAAGTAAGTTATGCTAGCATTTGAGTATGTATACACACATATATAAAAAAAAAACTAGAAGACTACAATTAAAAGTTATTATAAAGATTTTTTTTGTTTATATTTTTCACTTTCTGCAATAGTTTTATTTTTTATGTGTATTATAGAAGTATTAAGACAATTTCTTGGGATATACATAAGAAACATACACTCATACTAATACTAGAGGCCTGGTGTACGAATCCAGGAGTCAAGTGGGGTTCCTTGGCCTGGCCTATAGGGATCAGGCCAAAACTGGTTCTCCGACACTCTCTGGAGGGGTCCCAGATTTCCAGAGGGAGGTTCTGGGTGATGCACCTGGAATCAGGCTCCTCCTCTGGTTCCAGGTGCATCACCCGAGAACCGCAGCCACCAAGTCACCAGAGCTGCCAAGTCACTGCAGCTCAGCAGCTCCTGCATTGGGCATCTGTCCCCTGGAGGTCAGTGTGTGCTATAGCTACCAGTCAGACAAATGGTCGCTTATGCTTTTATATCCTATCTAATAAAAGAGAAACATGCAAGCCGAATCCGGTTTGGCTCAGTGGATAGAGCATCGGCTTGGGGAATGAAGGGACTCGGGTTCGATTCCGGTCAAAGGCATGTACCTTGGTTGCGGGCATATCCCCAGTAGGGGGTGTGCAAGAGGCAGCTGATCGATGACTCTCTCTCATCGATGTTTCTAACTCTCTATCTCTCTCCCTTCCTCTCTGTACAAAATCAATAAAATATATTTAAAAAAAAAAAATAAATAAAGGCTACAAAGTTTCAATTACAAAAGATAAATAAATCCCAATACCAGAGCCTATGCTTGGGTCGATGGGGGGCATGGCCAGCCTGCAAACCACCACAGGCCCCTCACCCAGGCCGCCCCAAGGGAACCCCCACCCTGATCTGGAACACCCTTCAAGGAAAACCAGTCAGCCCCCACCCGTACACCAGGCCTCTATCCTATCTAATAAAATAGTGTATGCAAATTGACTATCACTCCAACACACAAAATGGCTGCCCCATGAAAGGTATTCTTTAAGAAGAGGAAGAAGAAAAAAGTAAAGATAAAAATTATGAACAACAAATACATATCTGTCAACAAGTGAATCTAAAAATCAAGTGAATTAAAAATCTGATGACCAGAATAAAATGGTGAATATAATAGAATCAGGGACATAGAATGGGAGTGAATTGATAATTCTCAGGGGGAAATGGATTTGGGGGTACAGGAAGAGACTGGACAAAAATCATACACCTATGGATGAGGACAGTGGGGAGGAGTTAAGGGCAGAGGGTGGGGTGGGAACCGGGTGGAGGGGAGCTATGGGGGGAAAAAGGAGAAACAATTGTAATAATCTGAACAATAAAATTTTATTTTTAAAAAAGGAAATGCAAAAAAATAAGAAAAAAAAATGGAAATGCACAGAGAATATATAGATTTTAAATAATAGTACATACTTTACATATATATTATTGGAATATATGCAGAACAATAAAGAGCACATAGAAATAAAACCTGCTCTACTATTGGAAAATTTTTCAAATTTTCAAAATAACCAATTTGTTCATTTTTTAATTAAACAAAGTATTGAATAAATAAATAAATATATATACATTCATATATTAATCAATAAATAAAAATAAGCAATAAAAAAAGGATTCTAAAGTCAAATGGGCCTTAGTATTCAGGTTAAACTTCCTCCAATTTCTAAGTAAAAAATGAAATTTTATATTTTATGTCTTCATCTCAACAGATCTTTTTAAACAACGAACTAAAGCAAAGAATCACTTGGCTCATGGCCCCAACTGAGATGAAGCTTAACATATGGCTGAACTACATAGTTTGGGTCAGGAGGAAACAAGACAGAAGCACAATTTGTGCTCTAAAGCACATTTGAAACACTATGTGGGGGTGTTGCTATATTACTCCACTCTACCACCAGATCTTCTTGGCAAAGAGTGGTATAATAATTTTGAACAATCTGAGTCTCATATTATCATGAAGATATAAATTGAAGAAAAACATGCACAATATGTAGGATAGAGACCAATGTAATTCTTTTAGAATGATATTCCATAATTAGAATGTTTCAGTATTTCTATTAGAATGTAATTCCATCATTAGTCAAAAGATAAAAATCAGGTGTTGCTGGTGAAGAGTGGGGATTGAGTCATAAGATAGGATACTTAAATTCAATTCTCAATATATATTTGGCTAGTCAAGGTATTTTAGTTTTCCGTTCAAACTCAAAGTGTTCATTTTCATAATTGTTTTCCTCCAGTGTGATTCAGTGTGAATTCCATCCTTTCAAAGTAAACTAAAATGTAAAGCACATACAAGATGTCATGCATCTTTAATGACTTAAAGATAGCTGGTTTTAAACCATGAAGAACAAAACTATTGCCCTAGCTGGTTTGGTTTAGTGGATAGAGCAGTGGCCTGCAGACTGAAGGGTCCCGGGTTCAATTCTGGTCAGAGGCACATGCCCAAGTTGCGGACTCGATCTCCAGTAGGGGGTGTGCAGGAGGCAGTCCATCAATGATTTTCTCTCATCATTGATGTTTCTATCTCTCTCTTCCTCTCTGAAATCAGTGTGTGTGTGTGTGTGTGTGTGTGTGTGTGTGTGTGTCTATATATATATTGAATAGAACAAGCCCTAACGGTTTAGCTCAGTGAATAGAGCGTTGGCCTGCAGACTGAAAGGTCCTAGGTTCAATTCTGGCCGAGGACACATACCCAGGATGCAGGCTCAATCCCCAGTGGTGGCGTGCATGAGGCAACTGATCAATGATTCTCTCACCGTTGTTTCTATCTCTCTCCCTCTCCCTTCCTCTCTAAAATCAATAAAAACATTTTTAAAAGAACAAAGAAATACAGATAAAGAAATAGACCATACCACTGACCAGACCCAATATGTATTTAAGTAATCCTATTTTCTATCTTTGCCCACAAGCTGTCTCAATTTTCCCCTTTCAAGAGCATTTCAAAACCAAGTTCTCTAGGTTATGACAATTAATCTCAAAGCAGAGAGTCTAGCATAAATCTGACATTTTTAGAGGTGCAGAATAAAAGATTTTGCAGCTTTCAATTGCCTATTTTAAAGAAAATAAAAGCTGGTTTGTTCAATTGCTCAGCAGCTTTAAAAACAAATGCAAAGGTCTCACGCTGTCATAGTTTTATTTTAAAGAACAATACCAGTGAAAGTCAGGTAAGTAATTGGATAACAAAAGCAAGGCAGGAAAATACAAAAAGAAAACAAAACACAATTTTATACAAGAAATACATTAAGCAACAACTAAGAAAAGCCATCCTATTTTCCACATAAATTAGTCCTAAAGCTAACCTTTTGTCCCAATTTTATCCTTTCAATCCCTTCCATGAACACAAAGTACCCACCTCCTTCGGCATGGCTAATGGTACTTGATTTCTAAGAGCTTTAGAAGGTAACATTCTTTGGCCCACTATTCATTTCAGGTGCAGCCCATCATTAAAATCCCAAAGCATTTCTTATGTAGCTAAATGTGCAGATAAAAACAAGTTTCTGTTTGCTGTAGGTGATTAAGGACAAGGTAACAAAAGCTTTATTTCATGGGGCACTGTAGATTTTATCCACTGGACTAGCTCTAAGAAACTGGTGTTTAGTATAGTTAACCCAATCTTCAGAATAATTAACTTGTTTCTACACTGACCTTTGCTTTTGATCCCAATGTAAGATCAGCCGTATTGTAGCAGCATGTCCCCAACTTTCTCCTGAGGGAAGAAGAGCACGATAACTGTATATTGCCTAGGTTATAAGTCTCTCAGAATGCATCTGACTACATAGTTTTACTTTGCTTGATTTAACATAATGAGAGTATACTTTAAACCTGGTATGTTGGTAACATCCTGAGATTAAAGAATTTTTACATATCTAATAAAATATTGCAGATCAGTATATTTTATTTACTTTTAGAAAACCTTATAGTTTGAATAAATATATTTATCAATCTTTCATATATTAAAACTAGCATATTTCTAACCACCAGAAAAAAAGCAAAAACTCTGACAGATTATTCTTAAAGATTTTAGTATAAATCAATCTTGAAACATTGAAAAGTTCTAACAAGACCATGATTGACGTTAAAAACAAAATTAATCTATTCAGTGTAGTGTAATTTGTATTTGAATGGATTCACTCTTACTCCTAAGACTGTGAGCTTTCTGAAGGCAAGAATCATCATATGAATATTATAAGTTTAGTACCTGACACAACAGTTTCTATATAGTAGATGCTAAGTTAATGTTTGTTAACTGAAAGGATGAGTCAATATCTAAGGGCACAGTGCTCTGTGCTAAGATTTCTCAGTGAATAAGACACATACAGTCTCTGCTTTCATGGAGTTTATAGTACCCATAAGCATCAAATTAAAGAAGTAGAGAAAACATGTTTAACTGAAAGTGTTTATAGGATTATTACTCACCCAATGCTGGTATCAACATGGCCTGATTTTTATCAATCTTAGTTGTCATCTGATTAGTTAAAATTACCTACAAAAACAAAATGTGAGAAAATTAGATGAGTCTCCCCTAAAACTTATCAAGTAAATAGTCTTATGATTTTAGTATTCTCAATATAAAGAAATACTATTTAGGTAATGAAAACCTTTCTAATAATATTTTAAAAACTTGCCGAAACACGCCGAGACCGGTTTGGCTCAATGGATACAGCGTCGGCTTGGGGACTAAAGGGTCCCGGGTTCGATTCCGGTCAAGGGCATGTACCTTGGTTGCGGGCATATCCCCAGTAGGGGGTGTGCAAGAGGCAGCTGATCGATGACTCTCTCTCATCGATGTTTCTAACTCTCTATCTCTCTCCCTTCCTCTCTGTACAAAATCAATAAAATATATTAACAAAAAAACAACAAAAAAAACTTACCCATAAAAATGAATAGTTATCTGAAAACATGCCTATTGAACATAAAACTTTTTTAAAACAAACAAGAACAAAGAAGTTCTTTGTTGCGAAAATGTAAGAAAAAATATATATAAAAGCATAATATAACAATGGACCTGATGGCAGAACAACTAGTTGCTATGATGCACACTGACCATCAGGAGGCAGATGTTCAATGAACGAGCTGCCCCCTGGTGGTCAGTGCGATCCCACAGCAGGAGCACCGCTCAGCCAGAAGCAGGGCTCACGGCTGGCAAGTGCAGTGGCTGTGGCGGGAGCCTCTCCCACCTCTGTGGCAGTGCTAAGGAGCAGCAAGCCAAGTGGCAAGGAGCAGGTAGGTGGTTAGAAGCGAGGGGTCCCGGAGTGCGAGGAGGGTGCAAGCCAGGCTGACAGACCTCCCACCCTGCCCCCATATAAATATCATACATCAGGCCTCTAATAAAAATATAATAAATGATAACACATAAAGGCCTAAAGAGAGCATGAACAAAAACATCATAAATGCTAGAATCAGGAAAATCCAAACTTTTAAGTTTAAATTTTATATAAGCCAATAGGAACAACCAGTCCAATAGCAGTAATAAACATTTTTGAGTACCTAATACATGCCAGAAACTATTCTAAGTGCTTTACCTTCATTATCTTATCTCCATAACTACACTATGAATGAGGTATTATTATTGTTACTAGAGGCCCAGTGCACGAAATTTGTCCACAAGGGAGTGAGGGTCCCTCAGCTCACGCCCTGCACCCTGGCCAGGAGCCCACATGCCTGTCCTCCTACCCCTCCTTCCTTCTGCGGGCTGGAGTGCACGGGACACTGGGGCTTATCGCTGGGGCAATGCCACCAGCGTCCAGCTGCTATGGGCACTGCCAGCTTTGTGATGGAGTGACAGTTAATTTGCATATTACCCTTTTATTAGATAGGATTGTTTCAGGGATCCAAGATTGCAAGAGGGTGCAGGCCAGGCTGAAGAACCCCTCGGGTGCACAATCGGGGCCCGGGAGGGGTGCGGGAGGTTGGCCACCCAGGGAGGCTCCAGGCCGTGTCCAGCCAGTCTTGCTCAGTCTCTATTGGGCAGATCCCTACAGCAAGCTAACCTACCAGTCGGAGAATCTACCCTCTGGTGGTCAATGCATGTCATAGCGACTATTTGACCCCTAGTGACCAAGTGCACATCATATGAGGGTTGAGTGGCCTTAGCATATCATTAGCATATTACACTTTGATTGAAGGGACAACTGGATGACTGGACACCTAGCATATTAGGCTTTTATTATATAGGATATATATGAAAGAAGTTTGCAATGTATTAAGTGAACAAAACATTGCTTTTCATAATAGTATGCATAATGTGGTCTTACTTTAAAACAGTTTCTGTATGCATAGAATAAGTTTGGAAAAATATGTACAGCAAACTCAACAATAATAATTTCTGAGTAATACATAATTGTTTATATTTTGATAACATAATTTTTATAGCAAGCACATAATTTAAATTGTAAGATGTATTTATTATCAAAGGTCAGACATGCCTCTATACTTGCTAACCAGAAAATTAAAAGTCAAGCAAAGAATAATTTTTAAAGTATGAGAGTAACCCCAAAAATCTTAGCTCAGAAATAACCACTGTTAATGTTTTGGTCCTTTCAGTATTTTTCTTCATAGATATAAATGCTCATATATAATTTTTATTTTTCTAAAAAGTGGGATCGCCGAGACCAGTTTGGCTCAATGGATAGAGCGTCGGCTTGGGGACTGAAGGGTCCCGGGTTCAATTCCGGTCAAGGGCATGTACCTTGGTTGCGGGCATATCCCCAGTAAGGGGTGTGCAAGAGGCAGCTGATCGATGACTCTCATCGATGTTTCTAACTCTCTATCTCTCTCCCTTCCTCTCTGTACAAAATCAATAAAATATATATATATATTTTTTAAATAAGTAAATAAAATAAAATAAAAAGTGGGATCCATTAAATATATTATTATACAACTTGAATTTTTTCACTTAATCATATAGATGGATGTTTTGTTTCATGTGAGTTTGCAAATGTTTATATTACTTAAACACGGCATAGTTTTTTGTGTTATTTGCATTACTTTTTAAATATTTTTTATAATTTTTTTAATATGACCTTTTTCATTGATATGAGAGATAGAGAGAAAGGAAGAGAAAGGGAGAAAAACAGAAACATCCACATGAAAGGGTCACTTTGAATGGCCACCTCCTACATGATCAAGCCCAAAACCCAGGGATGTGCCCTGACTGGGAAGTGAACCAGCTGTGACCACTCAGTGTATGGGAAAACACTCAACCAACTGAGCCACATCAGCCAGGCCTGCATTACTTTTTTTTTTTTTTTTTTTTTTTTATCAGAAAAGATAGGCTAATTTTGTTAAAAAAGTAAAATAAAAACCTAAGGAACTATGGCAACTCATTAGTCTTGAGTGCCCCCAAGTGGGAGCTCTTCATGGATATTAACAGAATGCATAAAATTACATACAAATTAATGGGGGAGAAAATAATTCAGACAGGGTACTATGCTTTTCAGTATATGGCAAAAAAACAAACAAAAAAAAATCTAATAGCTCAAAAGAAAAGATGTACGTTTTGAAATTACTTTAGCAAGTAATTGTTTATTTACTTATGATGTATTATAGGAATGTGCTAAGGATTCAGGTTAAAGATAAGAAAATCAAGTTAAGCAGTTTGAGCTCTCATCTTCCTCACATATAAGTGGGTATATCTGTGTCACTGGTGAGTTTTTAACTCACTCCTTTTTATCTCTTCACTTTTGAACTTATCTTTACCTTTCTCTTCACATTTCAAATCTAAGAGTTACCTCCACTTCCAAAAATATAATTTTCCTATCCACCTGAGTCCATGATTATACATTATGTAATAATCAAAGCCTGAAATTAAAAGAAAAATGGGAATGTTGGAAGAGCTTACTCAAAACACATCAAGTATATTTAGACAAAGAAAACACTGCAATTTACCAAAGTCCATTTTTAAAATATGGCATCTTACTTATGCTTATTTTTTTCCAGGAAAATCAATAAACAACACTTATGACTAGAATTAATTTTTTTATAATAGCCAAGCCAAAATAAAACTATATTTAAAACTATGTGTACATTAATATATCTTTTTTAAATAATTTTTTATTAAATTATTATCTGTGTACATATTTTAACATTGCCCCCCCAATATATCCTTTTTTTATTGACCTGAGAAATTATATTCTACTACTTGTAGGCATTAATATTTGATACAATCTTCTTAACTATTACAGAATTCTCTTAATTATACTTACAGCTAATCTGTGATTATTTGCAAGGCTGATCATTTGCTGGGCTAAGCCATTTAGTAATCGAGTTCGAAGGGATAAGTCATCAAAGTCATGACGAAAAGGAAAAGCAATACCATCCACTATCACTAATCGAACCTAAATACAGAAGAAATAATGATATTAGGTTTGGTTTTAAAAATAAAAGATATTAATAAAAAAAAAAAAAAAAAAAAAAAGCACAGCCCATTGCATAAAAAAAACCTTAAAATCCATTGTTCTATTCCCAATTTTATAAAGGCTTTATTTTGGATATATCTTTTCATCCAATGCTTTTTTATTTTTTTAAATCTTCATCCGAGGATATTGTTCATTGATTTTATAGAGAGTGGAAGAGAGCCGAGACCCGTTTGGCTCAATGGATACAGCGTGAAGAGAGAGGGAAAGTCAGAGAAATATTGATGTTAGAGAAACACATCGATTGGTTGCCCTCTGCATGCACCCTGACCAGGGCCGGGGCAGGGGCTGGGAAGGAGCCTGCAATAGAGGTATATGCCTTTGACCAAAATCGAATCCAGGACCATTCGATCCACAAGCCAACCAAACCAGCTAGGTCATCCAATGCTTTTTTTTAAAAATGTTTGTATTGATTTCAGAGAGGAAAGGAAAGAGAGAGATAGAAACATCAATGATGAGAGACAATCATCGATCGGCCACCTACTGAGGATTAAGCCCTTCAACCCAACCATTTACCCTGACTGGGAATCGAACTGTGACCTAACTCCTGGTTCAGGTTGATGTTCAACCACTGAGACACAAAAGCTGGGCCAATTCCCTTTTTTTTAAAATCCTCATCCAAGGATATGTTTATTGATTTTAGAGAGAGAGAGAGAGAGAGAGAGAGAGAGAGAGAGAGAGAGAGAGAGAGAGGAAACATCAATAGGTTGCCTCCTGCAGGTGGCCTGACCAGGATTGAACCCAAAACCTACATATGTGCCCTGACTGTGCATAGGATGCCACTCCAACCAACTGGGCCACCTGGCTAGGGTAATACATCCAACGCCTCTGTATTAATTGCCAGAAGTTAAAATGTGCTCTGGTTTGATAATTTATCCACTTAAAAAAGTAATTCAGAAAAAAAAAAAAAAAAAAAAGAATTTTCTTATCAGTTGCCACTACACATTGTGTTTTACAGGGATATTTTATTGACAAAAAAACACTTTTGAAGTCTTAAACAAATTTCTCAGTTAATTACATTAGTTTTTACCTTGAGGATTCCTTCTATGTTAAAACTCTTCAAATATTAAATTAGTACACCTTCTTCAAAAACTTAATGGTATACTTTTCCCCCTTAATTTTAAACATACTATAGGGCAAATAATCACTACAGAATCTGTTATAATATTTAATTCAGCATGAGGAAATTCTATCTTAAATTATAATCAAGAAAGTTTACTTACAGATGATAAACACTTTCATGACAGTTTCGTTCTAATATAATTCAAATAATGGCACCTACAGTGAAGTTAGAGTAAACAAATGAAAAAACTACAAGATATTTTTTTCTATCTGATAAGAATTAGGCTAAAGAAGAGGCTTTTGTGAAGCAATGTATAAGCCATTTTCATAGCTTTTATTTAGAGTATTTCGTTTATTCACCCAGCAAATATTTATTGACACCTATATCTTAGTCACTGTTATAGGCACTGGAGAACAAGTTCTCTTGCAGCTTATGTACTAGTGGAGTAAGAAACAATTAACATACAAACACATACTGAATAAAACAATTTCTGATAATGACAGGAGTTACGAAGACCTAAAACTGGATAAAATGACAAAGAACGAGTAGCTCTTGAGGTAGAGGAAGGCTAACTTCAATGTGAGAAAAAGCATCAATGAGAAGTCGGGCAATAGAACTGAGTCCTGGGAGAGAACCTCTTGGAAGGAAAGACAATCTATGTATAATATAAGGAGTCAGAAGGGCAAAGGACTAAAGACACAAATAAGTTTGGGATGTTAAAGGGTCAGAAAAAAAATGTAGTGAGAGGGAATGATAGGAAATTATATCAGGAAGGTACAGTGGTGAGCTAAAGCCAAAACCTATAGGCTGTTAAGCTAAATTTTCAGAAATTATGCAAATCAGTCATTAAATACAGCCATTAAAAATAAAACTACATAAAAGTTATGAGTAAATAAGTCATATAAGTATTTGGATAAAATAAAATACAGATAATAAATACTGAAAAATCACTTCTTCCTAATTTTTTATATTTTACTATTATCTATGCTCTTTAGATCATCTGCACCTATTTTATCTTTATAGTGGAACTACTGCATAGTGATGTACTACAGTACAGTGTTTCTTCTCTACTCCACATTCCATAAGCTTGAAATCAGCCACCTTAGGAGGATTTTCTACATACAAAGCAGCAAATAAATCAGCCATGGATCAGAGCTTGATTTGTCTTGCTGATTGTCTAAACTTTTAATGAAGTAATGGGGAAAATGTCAAAATCATATTGACCTTGCCCTAACCAGTTTGGCTCAGTGGATAGAGCTTCGACCTGCAGACTCAAGGGTCCCAGGCTCGATTCCGGTCAAGGGCATGTACCCTGGTTGCGGGCACATCCCCAGTGGGAGTATGTAGGAAGTAGCTGATCGATGTTTCTCTCTCATCTATGTTTCTGACTCTCTATCCCTCTCTTTTCCTCTCTGTAAAAAATCAATAAAATAGTCGAAACCAGTTTGGCTCAGTGGTGGAGCGTCGGTCTGCAGACTGAAGGGTCTCAGGTTTGGTTCCGGTCAGGGGCATGTGCATTGGTTGCGGGCGCTTCCCTGATGGGGGATGTGCAGGAGGCAGCTGGGCGATGTTTCTCTCTCATCGATATTTCTAGCTCTCTATTCCTCTCCCTTCCTCTCTGTAAAAAATCAATAAAATATTTTTTTAAAAAAGAAAAAGAAATCAATAAAATATATTTAAAAAAAAAAAAAAAAAAAGACAGCCATTCATCCTCAGGATAAATTTTTTAAAAAAAAATCATATTGATCTTCAAAAATATGTTGTGTCTATGCCCTAGCTGGTTTTGCTCAGTGGATAAAGTGTCAGATTGCTGACTTAAGGGTCCCAGGTTCGATTCCAGTCAAGGGCATGTACGTTGGTTGCAGGCACGTACCCAGTAAGGGGTGTGCAGAAGGCAGCTGATTGATGTTTCTCTCTCACCGATGTTTCTAACTTTCTCTCCCTCTCCCTTCCTCTCTGTAATAAATGAATAAAATATATATTTTTTTAAAAAGTTGTGTCTGTACCCATTACATTGTGAACTACACAAAAATTGAGGATATATTCTTCTTTTAGAAAACTAATGAATTAACTAGGTATGATCATTAGCTCAAATCAACAAAAAAAATATTCCACAGGAAAACTCCATAATTATAGGTTTTGACACCAGGATATTTGCAGGGAGCCCTAAATACCCAGGGCATTCAAGGACCTTTCTGCTCATGCCTGGAAATGCAAATTTGTTTTTCCTCCCCACAGTCCAGATTTTACTGAAAGTGGCTAAATTACAGAGATATGGACCTTCTGCTAAGTGGTAACTATTCACAGTGACAGCTTTCCCAAGTATAGGATGGAAGTTCTTAGAGATGGTCTGGTGAATTTCCTTGGTTTCTCAAGAGAGTATACTGAAGGTAGAAAGCCAATGAATTACAGAATGAGGATAAAACAGGGCTTGTCATTAAACTCATAAAAGCCAAAAGAAAATGTTACCAAATGGTGCCCTGGCCAATGTGGCTCAGTTGTTTGGGCATCATCTGGTGTATCATAAAGTTGCTGGTTTGGTTCCCGGTTAAGGAACATGCCTACCTGGGTTGTGGGCTTGATCTCCAGTAGGGAGCATGCAGGAGAGCAGCAGATTAACTTTTTCCTCTCACATCTATGTTTCTTTCTCCTTTTCCCTCCACTTCTTTCTAAAAATCTATTTAAAAGCCTTTTAAAAATACATATAACCTTTTAACATTGCAATTCTAATTATAGCATTTATCCCATAAACATACTCACAAATGTACCCTGAGATATGTATAAGGATTATTCCCAAAACATTGTTAATAATAGCACTAAAAGTCCACCAACAAAGAACTGGTTTAATAAATTAAGGTACCTACTCCCTGCCAACCATTTTTTTAATATATATATTTTTATTTATTTCAGGGAGGGAGAAAGATGGAGAGATAGAAACATCAATGATGAGAGCATCATTGATAAGCTGCCTCCTGCACGTCTCCTACTGGGGGTGGATCAAGCCCACAACCCGGGCACGTGCCCTTGGCTGGAATCAAACCTGGGTCCCTTTAGTCCAATGCTCTATCCATTGGGCCAAACTGACTAGAGGCCCCCCCCCCCCCACCTTTTTAATTATGGTAAAATACACATAACAGAAAAATGTATCATCTTAATCATTTTATGTGTACAGTTTAGTGGTATTAAATATATTTATAATGTTGTACATCTCAAGAACTCTTTTCATCTTTTAAAACTAAAACTCTATACCCACTAAACAACAACTACCATTCTTCTCTTCTCCCCAGGCCGTGGCAACCACTGTTTTACTTTCTGTCTCTATGACTTTGACTACTCCTAATACTTCATAAAAGCATATATTACACTTAGCGTATAGAGTTCTCAAGATTCATCATGTTGCAGCATGTGTCAGATTTTCTTTCCTTTTTAAGACTGAATAATATTCCATTGTAAGTATAATATGTAAGTATGTAGCACATTTTGCTTATCTAGTCATTCATCAATGGACACTTGTGTTTCTTCCATGTTCTAGCTACTGTAAATAATCCTGCTGTGAACATAAATGTATGAATGTATAAATATCTCTTCAAGACCCGGCTTTCAATTTCTTTTGGCTATATACGCAGAAGTGAAGTTGCTGTAATATATGGTAGTTCTATTTTTATTTTTTTGAGGAACTGACATACTGTTTTCTACAACAATTATACCATTTTACTTCCCCACCAACAGCAAAAAAGTACCTTAAAATGAATATACAGCTGAGAAAAGAATAAGGTCTATATGTATGTAATGATACAGAAAGATATGCAAAACACTAAGCCAAAATAGAAGATGTAGAACAATAATACAGTATAATCCCATCAACAAATGTTAAAAATGGGGAATTAGATATTATAATATGTAAAAGATATTTTTGAAAAGACACACAAGAAACTATTAATAGTGGTCAACTTTGGGGAGAGGTACTAGGGAGCAATAGCAGAAGCGAAATGTTATTTTCTATTTTATACCACTCTATACAGTTTGTTTGATAGGAGCTATTTCACCATTTCTAGAGGTGGAACCTCTTTTTTAAAAATATATATTTCATTTATTTTAGAGAGGAAGAGAAAGGGAGAGGGATAGAAACATCAATGATGAGAGAGAATCATTGATTGGCTGCCTCTTGCACACCCCCTACTGGGGATCAAGCCCGAAACCCAGGCATGTGCCCCTGCCAGAACCGAACCTGGGACCTTTCAGTCCACAGACTGACCCTCTATCCATTGAGCCAAACCAACTAGGGCTTTTTATATTATTTCAATTTCTTACTTTGGGCATAGTATTAATATATACATGCTAAATAAATGTAAACATAAATAAATTATAGGGCAAGGAATAAATTTTCTGAATTGGCTTAACCAGACACTTCCTAAGACATATTAGTTACATTGGTAAGTTGTATTTCAGTAGTTTGAGCCATACCTTTGCATGTTCTGAAAGGAAGTCTGAAAGTAGATAAACTTGTGCCAATAGCTCTGTGTAGTCATGACAACGAAAATAATAAATATGGGAAAGAATGTTTTCAAGAGTGAAATTCTCCAAAATCTTTGGGTGCGCTGAAATAAACAATAAAACAATCTTAAAATAATTAGTTACCTGTTTTGATATATTGGTGACTAAAGAAAACAATACCGCCAAAACCAGTTTAGCTCAGTGGATAGAGCGTCTGCCTGCGGACTGAAGAGCCCCAGGTTTGGTTCCGGTCAAGGGCATGTACATTGGTTGCGGGTACATCCCCGGTGGGGGGTGTGCAGGAGGCGGCTGGTCGATGTTTCTCTCTCATCGACGGTTCTAGCTCTCTATCCCTCTCCCTTCCTCTCTGTAAGAAATCAATAAAATATATTTAAAGAAAAGAAAAGAAAAACAATACCTTTGAATAACAAAATGCTTCACTGTGAACAACAGAACTCCTGACTTTATTTGAAAAAAGACAAAATTTTAGCAAAATCACTATAAACTATCATAATTCCTGTCCTCTTCTTTCATCCTTTCCATTGTTTCCTTACATACTAGACTATCTAGAAACTGTTTATATATATATACAACTAGTTTTTATGCCTGTGTTTTTATATTTCTAGTTATTGGCTTCCACTCAATAGAGGTAACATATTGTAATCTCTCTTTCTTGTTTGTTTTTCCCACAGGATTACAAACTAACAGTTTAAAGAAAAAATGTTTAAAAAAAAAAAAAAGCCTTTTCCCCTTAAATACTATAGTATAACTTGATAATTTAACTAGAATCAATGATATAAAATAAAATTCCCTACTTAGATTGGATTTTAAAAAATAAGTAGTTTGAAAACCAGAAACATCAATCAGAAAGGATATATGCACCTCTATGTTCATAGCAGCACAATTTATAATAGCTAAGATATGGAAACAGCCTAAGCATCCATCAGCAGATGAGTGGATTAAAAACCTGTGGTATACGCCAAAACCGGTTTGGCTCAATGGATAGAGCGTCGGCTTGGGGACCAAGGGCATGTACCTTGGTTGCGGGCATATCCCCAGTAGGGGGTGTGCAAGAGGCAGCTGATCGATGACTCTCTCTCATTGATGTTTCTAACTCTCTATCTCTCTCCCTCACTCTCTGTACAAAATCAATAAAATATATTATAAAAAAAAAAAAAAAAAAAAAAAAAAAAGCCTGTGGTATAGAGGAGGTACCAAGACAACGGCATAGGTAACCACTGTATGTGCTGCCTCTCACAACCATATCAAAATTACAACTAAAAGACAGAACAACTATCATCCAGAACCACAGGAAAGCTGTCTGAGTGGAAGTTCTGCAACTAAAGAGGTAAAGAAGAAAGCGCATTGGGACTGGTAAGAGGTGCAGAGGCACGGAACAGGCTGGCACCCAGGTACGCTGCTTTTTTAATCGGGAGGAAGATACAAGCTCCTGCTTGCTCTGAACTCCAGTTCCAGGCAAGACTCGGGACTCAGACACATATGGGGAGAAACTGGACTGTCGGGCATCAGGACAGAAATGTGAGGGTGGCTTTTTCTTTTTTTAATATATTTTATTGATTTTTTACAGAGAGGAAGGGAGAGGGATAGAGAGCTAAAAACATCGATGAGAGAGATACATTGACCAGCTGTCTCCTGCCTCCTGCACACCCCCCACCGAGGATGTGCCCGCAACCAAGGTACATGCCCTGACCGGAATTGAACCTGGGACCCTTCTGTCTGCAGGCTGATTCTCTATTTTAAAATGTTTGTAATCAGCTGGATTTAAATATATATGTAAATTTTTTAATTGATTTCAGAGATGAAGGGAGAGGGAGATTTTGAAACATCAATGATGAGAATCATTGATCAGCTGCCTCCTGCACACCCCACATTTTGATAAAAAACTTCCAAACACTTTAGCAATACAAGTAACATAGTCCTGAAGTCATTTACATACTACTCATAGCCCCATAATGTTCCAAATACTTCCAAACATAGTTTTTGTTTTTGGAAAAGCCAGTATGAAAGTCAATACACTAAATGCACTGAATGTAGTGAGTGCATTGAGACAATACTTATAGTAAAGTTCCAACAAAATTAGTTTACACCTGGCAGGCCAAAATATGATTGGAAGCCATACACTGAAATATATACACAAATATTGCCCTAGAGCTCCTATAGTGAGGGCCATAAAAGGGGAAGAAAAGGCCAATTCAGGTTGTGGCATTTCTTCTAACTTTTAAGAAGGCTATGAGAATTTAACACCAGTACATTGTCAAGTCATTAGCTTCACTTTCCAAAATGGTCTCTCGCTAAGAATTGAGATTACAAATGCAAATTTCTTTTACAATAGAGAAAAAAAGAGAATCACTTGCTAACTTACCCTCTTCCATACCTGTTCCTGCTATAAGATGAAGGTGCTGAATGCAGGCAGTAGCAAGGTCTACCACTCTATCAACCATAAAACTTCCCTCTGTGTCAATAAAAACTGCTTCACCTTCCACTCCTCCAAAACATTCTGGTATCTGCACATCTACTGCCAACTGCATACTATCAAGAGAAATAAGTCAAATAAGCAAATCATTATAATGATCTTCTAACATAGTGATCTTCAAACTCCAAGTCACCAAATGTTTTATAAATGCAAATATACACCCAGACAACAGAGATGGCTGATTCTCCATGGCTCCCAAAACAGGGTGGGGCTAAAATAGGATTATAACTGGGAGTACAAGGAAGTTTATTCTTGTGTTATTATTTACTAGAGGGTGATGCAAGAAATTCCTGTACTCGGGGGTGAGGGGTCCCACAGCCCGGACTGCACCTTCTTGCAGTCCAGGAGCCCTGGGGGGTGTCTGACAGACGGCTTATCACTGCAGCAGAGTTGGGAGAGACTCCCATCACTGCTACTGCACTGGCCAGCAGTGAGCCTGGCTTCTGACTGAGTGGCGCTCCTCCTGTAGGAGCGCACTGACCACCCGGGCAACACCTGTATTGAGTGTCTGCCCCTGATGGTCAGTGCACATCTGCTGTTCAGTTGATTTGCATATTAGCCTTTTATTATATAGGATTATTATACTATTTTCCATATAAACTACTCTAAGCCTACTATTTTTATTATAAAAAGCTTAATCTTGTATTATTATATTATTTTCCAAAAAAAGTACTGTAAGCTCCACCCTGTATATGTGAATCAATTGATGCTTGGATTACAGAAAGGATATGCCTATAAAATCAAGATTAAGGAATTTTAGCGGTGTTTTTAGACCTCTGGAAATGGAACCCTTTCTTACTATATATAAATCTACTTTTTTTAAGTCTCAGATTTTTTTTTTTTTTTAAGTTTTTATTGATTGTGAGAGAGAGGGATAGAAAGATAGAATCATTGATGAGAAAGGAACTTCACTGATCAGCTGCCTCCTGCATGCACCCCTACAGGAGATGGAGCCCACAACCTGGGCATATGTCCTAACTGGAATCCAATCGGCAATTTCTTGGTTCCTAGGTTGATGCTCAATCACTGAGCCACAGTGATTAAGCATCAACCTACTTTCAAACATTTGATTTTCAAATATATTCTCTGGAATTAATTATGTAATAAAGTAGAAGACTGCTTTTTTATCCTAATGACTACATTACAATGTTGTAAAAGAAACACTTTTTATATCAAAATAATCATATCAATTTATCAAGATGGAATGCTAAAGTAACACAAATATTCAGTTGGTTTTTGTTTGAGGCATGTACACAAACACAAAAATTTGTGAACACATACATGTCTTTTTCAGTCTGACAATAGATCCATAGCACAATATTCTATGACTTACATAAAATCTTAAGCCTACCCTTAAGAAGGGAACATTTTAGTTTACCATAACTGTGTTTTTCCAACACCTGGTGCACCACAAATTTCTGTTGTTTTGGTTAAGGGTACTCCACCCCCAAGAATATTATCTAGTGCTGAACAGAAGGTAATTATAAAGTTCTGGGTATGCTCCTGTTCAAGAAGATCCAGTGCTGTACATTTCTTGCCTGACTCAGCATGTCTTGGTTTATCTGTGAGACATTCTCTTCTTATAATTTGCAGAGCTTCTAAGGCTTCCTCTTTAGATATCCCAACTTCTGAAAGTAGAGTAAGAAAAAACACAGATTCTTGAGAGATATGAAATAGCACACTATGCTACTTGGTTTTCTTTATTAATTTTAATTTTTAGATAGCAAGAGGGATGCCAAGAGTAAATAAACATAAAAATGTAACATTCCATTAACTATTTAACCTTTTAAGTTAATAAATGGATTGATGTTTTCTCAGTCCTCATTTACTTAAAAAATTTATTACCTCAGAAACAGAATTGAGCCCTGGTTGATTTGGCTCAGTGGATAGAGCACTGGCCTAGGAACTTAAAGGGTCCTGACTTTGATTCCTGGTCAGGGCACATGCCCAGGTTTCGGGCTCCATCCCCAGTGGGGGATGTGCAGGAGGCAGCCGCTCCATGATTCTTTCTCATCATTGATGTTTCTCTCTCTCCCTCTCCCTTCCTCTCTGAAATAAATAAATAAATAAATAAATAAATATTTAAAAAATAAAAGGAGTGCATGACTCAATTGCTTGAAGTGTCCTCCTGTACACTGAAAGGTGTTAGATTCAAACCCTGGTCAAAGTACATACAAGAGGCAGCAACTGATCAATATTTCTCTCACATCAATGTTTCTCTCTCACTCTCTCCCTTCATCTCTAAAATAAATTTTTTAAAAAAGAATTTGCTTTTAAAAAAGTGCACGTATTTTTCATAATAAAAACTTTCCATGGGAAAAAAAAACACAACTTTTCATGGGAACACTGGCATGAAAAAATCATGTATCACTCTATTTAATGAGAATAACTATTTAATGCACAAATATTTTATTTTTGTGGACTATTTTTTATTTTTTAAATTATACTTTATTGATCCTTTACAGAGAGGAAGGGAGAGGGACAGAGAGTTAGAAACATCAACGAGAGAGAAATATCAATCAGCTGACTCCTGCACACTCCCCACTGGGTATGTGCCTGCAACCAAAGTACATGCCCTTGAACAGAATCAAACCTGGGACCCTTGTGTCCAAAGGCAGATGCTCTATCCACTGAGCCAAACTGGTTAGGGCTGCACAAATATTTTTTAAAATATACTTTAAACAATATACTTACACTTTCCTTAACTACACAATTTCAATCCTATCTGATAATATGGCCTAAGAAGATAAAATAATAATTACAAAATAGGCTGCTGCCCTGGACAATGTGGCTCAGATGGCTGGCCGTCATTCCCAAGTTAGGTGCCTAACTTGTGGGCTCAATCCTTAGTACAGGGTGTGCAGAGGGTGTGCAGGAGCAGCAGATCCATGTTTCTATCTCATCAATGTTTTTCTCTTCCTCCCTTCCTCTCTCTGAAATCAATAAAAACATATTTATAAAACAAACACAAAAAACAAGCTGAGGGGAGAAATAATTGTGAGGATATCACTTAGGGGTTTGATATATCAGTGCTTGATTTGATAAGGATATAAAATATAAATTTGGTGCTAACAAAACACAATAATGATAAGGCAAGGAAAATCCTATACAATTTAAGTGCTTGAACTCTTGGGGTCAAATTATTTGGTCTGTAAAGCCTGGCTGCACCACTATGTATTGCCGTGTTTGGGTAAGTGACTTTTTTGCGTCACAGATTTTTTCTTCTACAAAATGGATATGAGACAATACTTGTAAAAAGCTTGGTAGAAAACCAGGCCATCCAAAATGCTCAATAATTGTTAGCTTTTAAAAAAAATATATTTCACCGAAACCAGTTTAGCTCAGTGGATAGAGCGTCAGTCTGCGGACTGAAAGGTCCCGGGTTTGATTCTGGTCAAGGGCATGTACGTTGGTTGCGGGCACATCCCCAGTGGGGGATGTGCAGGAGGCAGCTGGTCGATGTTTCTCTCTCATCAATATTTCTAGCTCTCTATCCCTCTCCCTTCCTCACTGTAAAAAAAAATCAATAAAATATATTAAATATATTTATTGATTATTGATTTCAGAGAGGAAAGGAGAGGGAGAGTCAGAAACAACGATGATGAGAATCATTGATTGGCCATCTCCTGCATGCCCCACTCTGGGGATCAAGCCCTCAACCCAGGCCTGTGCCTTTGACCGGAATCAAATTCAGAAGCCTTCAGCCCTCAGACTGACGCTCTATCCACTGAGCCAAACCAGGGCAATAGTTATCTTTTTATCATTCAGATTCTCTCATTCCTTTTCTGGAAAACCAACTTGTTGAAAGAAAAGGAACCCATAAAACTTTGGGGGATACCATGTGAGGTGTAAGATTTAAAACAAATAATTAACATTGGGTCTACATTTATTCTGTTGTGTGTGTTGTTGTTGTTTTTTTGGCACTGCTCTTCCCGCTCTTCCTCCACTCCCCCAACCCCCCACACACACACCCGCCTGTCTCCCTGAATGTCCAGTACTCTCCGCGCTCCTCTTCCGCCCCCCTCCCCTGGGCAGGGCTCAGAGAGCACCACCACCACCCACATTTATTCTTGAGTGACTAATTGAAACCTCCTCATTTTATAGGACAATGACTTACAATTCGGTTGTTAAGGACAATGATTTACAATTCGGTTGTATCTTGATATTACAGTTCTAGGCATACCATCGGATAATGTACTCAGCGAGACTGACTGCGGACAGCTTTATTTTTGTTTGCCTCGGGGTGCACTGGTCCCCACCAGCGTGTTACCTCCTGTTCTGGAATGTGAGGTTTAGGGTTTTTCTCAGGGAGTTACAAAAAGAAGCACTGTCTTCTTTCTACCCCTTTCCTCACTCTTAGTATCTCTACTCCTTCCATGGATCCTTCACTTTTCAAATTTAATCCCTGTCCTTTGGGGTTTAGGAACAGCGAAAATTAAAATAGCCTATAGGAGTTCCAATCCTGGCTCTACCACTGCCCAGCCCGGTCATTATGAAAAGTTACCTAATCTCCCCAAGCATCAGTCCCTTCGCCTGTATCCCGGGCATGGCCCAGGCAAAGGAGGGTTCTTTGGCGTATGAATGACGTCATCCTCAGAGCATCAGGCAAGGGACTGGCAGAGAAAGCAACCAAGTAAATGTTTCCAAGCCCATAGTTCTAACGGTCCACACCATGCGTGAGTGCAATTAAGGAGCCTTTTCACGTTGTAAACGCTGCCGTGGGCGACAGCAGAATCTGCGGAGACGGAAGGCGAGGGAACCGAGACGGAAGGCGGCACAGATCGCGGCCGGCGTGCCACCGTTTAACGCCGGCAGTCGTTACCTTTGCTGAGCTCGGAGGGCTTCACGTCTAGGAGCTCCTCGGCGGTTTGGAATCCTGCAGACACCATCTTCACCCGCACCGCCGGGGACAGGGGGAAGCTAACCAAATCCCGCTGCATTTCAAAGCCGGACGCCTACCCGCCCGATCCCTCAGAACCGCCAAATCCCAGACGGCGGAACTCCCCACGCCCCGCCCAGCCGCGCAGAGTGACGTCAGGCGTAAAGCGGAAGGGGCGGGGTCTGCGGCCTGGCAGCACATGGCCTTGAGCTTTGCGACTCCATGAAGGCATAGACTAAATTTCCCCCGAGAACGCACCTTTCTTTCGTGAATATTCCAAAACCCAATACGGTTTCCCCGTTAAAAATACATCCTAGCCGGGACCGGTTTGGCTCAATGGATAGAGCGTCGGCTTGGGGACTGAAGGGCCCCGGGTTCGATTCCGGTCAAGGGCATGTACCTTGGTTGCGGGCATATCCCCGGAGGGGGGTGTGTAAGAGGAGGGGGGTGTGTAAGAGGCAGCTGATCTGTGACTCTCTCTCATCGATGTTTCTTTTTTTTTTTTTAATATATTTTATTGATTTTTATACAGAGAGAAAGGGAGAGAGATAGAGTTGGAAACATCGATGAGAGAGAGTCATCGATCAGCTGCCTCATGCACACCCCCTACTGGGGATATGCCCGCAACCAAGGTACATGCCCTTGACCGGAATCGAACCCGGGACCCTTCAGTCCCCAAGCCAACGCTCTATCCATTGAGCCAAACCGGTCCCGGCTCTCTCATCGATGTTTCTAACTCTCTATCTCTCTCCCTTCCTCTCTGTACAAAAATCAATAAAATATATTTTTTTTAAAAATACATCCTAGCCGAAACCGGTTTGGCTCAGTGGTAGAGCATTGGTCTGCAAACTGAAAGGTCCCTGGTTTGATTCCGGTTAAGGGCAAGTACATTGGTTTCGGGCACATCCCCGGTAGGGGTGTGCAAGAGGCAGCTGATCCATGTTTCTGTCTATCCCTCTCCCTTCCTCTCTGTAAAAAACCAATTAAAAAATATATTTTAAAAATACACCCTAGGAGACCCTTTCCTCCTCCCTATGTGGGAGTCTGTACTTGTTCTTTAATAAATGTCCACCTTTGCTATACCATCTTCTCTCCGTGAATTCATTCTTGACTCCAGCGGACAAAATATAAAATAATAAAATAAAAAAATAAAAACATCCTAACAGCCCTAACCGGTTTTGCTTAGTGGTTAGAGCCTCTGCCTATACACTGAAGGGTCCCGGGTTCAATTCTGGTTCAAGGCATGTACCTTGGTTGCCTGATCCCCAGTAGGGGGCGAATAGGAGGCAGCTGATTGATGTTTCTCTCCCATCCATGTTTCTAACTTTTTATCCGTCTCCCTCTCTGTAAAATCAAATTATATATATATATATATATATATATATATATATATATATATATATATATATATATATATACTAATAGTAAGAAGATAGGTGAGACCACAGGATGGAGAGCCAGGCCCAGTGGGCCCTGCACACCACATTCCCTCACTTCTGCCCATGGCGGAGATCTCAGGGCTGTTCATCGGTATGATCACCCCGGTGGAAGTAACTTGCACACACGCTGGGCAGTGACCGGTTTGGGATATGGAACGGACAGATGAGGCATCTGGGTCCCCATTACAGGGTTCCAGCCTCTTTAGGCTTTCTCTTGCTGTCTCCCATTTCCTTGCGCGCGCGCCCCTCCCCCCCCCCCCCCCCCCCCCCGCCTCCTTGCCTTCCCAGCCCTCGCCATCGAGAGGGACTGTGGACTAGCCCGCCACCTGCCTTTCCCGCCCTCGCCACCGCGGGGGATTATGGGCCAGCCCGCCTCCTCCAGGGGTCGCGTCCAGTCCTCCCACCCGCCCGTCCTCCAACGCTTTGTCTCCAACGGCTTTGTGCGAGACCAGCCCGGAGCAAGGTGAATTCTGAGGCCGTTGGTTCCTAACGTCCTGCCTGGCCTAAGAAGTTGCTGGAAAGGTAAGCAAGTAATATCCCCAGAGCGGGCTGGGCATGGGCTTCCCCGTTCTAAGGTGCAGCAGTTGGGTTACGCTGGAGCTCCTGTTCGGGTGCAGGGTTGGGGAAAGATGGCCTGCAAAACTGAGGATGTGGAGGGGCTGGAGAGGAGGTCTACGAAATCTGTCCTTGCCTAGGTGCGTTAGGATTTCTTTCGGAGCAACATAGGATGGCCGCTTTAGCAAATCCTTCACGTTTCGAATGCTCGCTGCCCGTCTGCTGGAGGGGAAACATGGTAGCGCTCATAGCACCGTTTTCTTTTCTTTTAAAATATATTTTATTGATTTTTATTTTATTTTTTTTACAGAGAGGAAGGGAGAGGGATAGAGAGCTAGAAACATCGACCAGCTGCCTCCTGCACATCCGGTGGGGGATGTGCCTGCAACCAATGACCAAAATCAAACCTGGGACCCCTCAGTCCACAGACCAACGCTCTAACCACTGAGCCAAACCGGCCTCGGCCATAGCTCCGTTTTCTTGAAGCCAAAATGAAAGCCCAGTAACCTTTTATTCTACCACGAGCGACTTCCGAATGGTGAGCCCCTCTTGGGGTGGTGATGAGTTCGAAAAGTGTGTGTCCCGCCGAACCGGGTTTGGCTCAGTGGTAGAGCGTCGGTCTGCGGACTGAAAGGTCCCAGGTTCAGTTCCGGTCAAGGGCATGTACGTTGGTTGCGGGCACATCCCCGGTAGGCAATGCAAGAGGCAGCTGGTCGATGTTTCTCTCTCATCGACGTTTCTAGCTCTCTATCTCTCTCCCTTCCTCCTCTCTGTAAAATATCAATAAAATATATTTAATAAAAAAGAAAAAGAAAAAGAAAGAAAAGTGTGTGTCCCCTATGTGGTAGGGCAGAGGAAGTCGGGTGGGACTGATCCAAGTGTTGTTGCCGGTCAGTACGTTGCTTAACCTCTAAGTATGTAGGATCCACATCCAGGCACACCGTGGGCATTCCATAAAGTTGTCCACAGGGAGGATGCATGCTTAGGCTTATAAAGCGGCTGGTGTTAACATGTGTAAGGACAATTTTTCAGTTAGATTTGGTCAAATTCAATGGGGTTGGCAGTGTTTAGAATTTTGTTTCATTGGCATTGGAGAGTTAAGAAACTGGTGGCTGTACAATTATGTGTTATTTATAGCTTATTCTGACCCTTGAATTGCCTGTAATTATTGTTTTTACCATCATTCTTCAGGGTTTCTTTTTTGTGTTTTTTTTTAAAGCTTGCATATTCAGGCTTTCAAATGAGGATCCAAGTTGATGAGGCCAGGAACTAACAAAACTAGGATTTATATGGAAGGTGCATCTTCCTTCCTGTAGTATCAGGTATTGTCAAATATGTTTGTTGTTGTTGTTGTTGTTTGTTTTGCTTTTTGAGAGAGAGAAGAGTTGAGTAATTTAATTGGTAAACCAATTTTCATTGAATTGAAACATTTTTCATTGAATGAGTATTAATATATTGTAGAGTGAACTGCAAACATAAAAATACATTTTAAGATAGAAACTTTGATTAAACTGGACACTTCAGTAGTCTCCTAGGTATATGTTTTTATTTTTCTTTGCAATTGGGGTTACTTTTTGAAAAAGTTTGAGAGGCACAATGATGGATGTAAGTGTTGGAGTCATACAAATTTAGCTTTTATCACATCTCTGGAAATTACCAACTGTGAGACTTTCAGCAAGTTTACTGAGTTTTCTCACCTGCAAGTAGAAGGTAATATTTCATGGGGTTGTTGGAAAGATTAAATGAATACATATTAAGTATTTGGCACAGAAATGGTAGGTAATAAATCTTAGCTTCTTTCTCCATTTAAAAACATCCTAATGTGTGTATTCAGTTGAATGAAACCTAGCTCATCAAAGTGCTAATGCTGTGAGACTTTTTTAAAAAGTGCCTACAGCTCTAGCTGGTGTGGCTCAGTTGGTGGATCATCGTCCTGTGTACCAAAGGGGTTCTTAGTTCAATTCCTGGTCAGGACACCTGCCCAGGTTACCCCAACAGTGGGGTGGTGAGGGCCTGGGGTAGGGAGCAGATGAGATAGGGAGCGGATGGTGGGGGTGGGAGTGGGGGGGGAAGGGGACATATGTAATACTTTCAACAATAAAGATTAAAAAAAAAAAGAAGAAGAAGAAGAAGCCTAAACCGGTTTGGCTCAATGGATAGAGCGTCGGCTTGGGGACTGAAGGGTCCCGGGTTCGATTGCGGTCAAGGGCATGTACCTTGGTTGCGGGCATATCCCCAGTGGGGGGTGTGCAAGAGGCAGCTGATCGATGACTCTTTCTCATCGATGTTTCTAGCTTGCTATCTCTCTCCCTTCCTCTCTGTACAAAATCAATAAAATATATTTTAAAAAAAAAGAAGAAGAAAGCAAAAATACCTCTATCGGGCTTGGCTCAGTGGATAGAGCATCAGCCTGTGGACTCAAGGATACCAGGTTCGATTCCGGCCAAGAGCACTTGCCTGGGTTGCAGGCTCGATCCCCAGAAACTGGTGTGCAGGAGGCAGCCGATCAATGATTCTCTCTCATCACTGATGTTTCCATCTCTCTTCCCTTCCTCTCTGAAATCAAAAAAGAAATATATTCTTTTAAAAAGAAAGCAAAAATAAAAAGTGCTTACAATTTTAAAATGCCAAAGAAAAGTTGTTTTACATTTGTGATGTGATTTGATCTGAAAAACTCTGGCCTTGGTCATTGTGGCTCAGCTAGGCATAGTCTGGTACACTAGAAGGTTGCTGGTTCGTTCCCTGGTCAGGACCCATGCCTGAGTTGAGGGCTTGATCCCCTGGGTTGGGGTGTGCAGGAAGCAGCTGATAATGCGATTAATGTTTCGCTCTCACATTCATCAGTGTTTCTCTTCCTCTTTCCCGCTCACTTCCTTCCTCTCTCTCTCTCTCTCTCTCTCTCTCTCTCTCTCTCTCTCTCTCGCGCGCGCGCGCTCTCTCTCTCTCTCTCTCTCTCATAAAATTGATAATATATATATATATATATCTTTTAATATATTTTATTGATTTTGTACAGAGAGAGAGAGAGAGAGAGAGAGATTTAGAAACATCGATGAGAGAGTCATCGATCAGCTGCCTTTTGCACACCCCCCACCGGGGATATGCCCGCAACCAAGGCACATGCCCTTGACCGGAATCGAACCCGGGAC